AATCTCTGATCTTCCGTAAACTGGCTGTCTGATCTTGGGGGAGCTATTTAACCTCTCTCAGCCTGCTTCCTTCCCTCTAAGTGGGGCCAGTAATAAATACATATTATTAGATTGTGGTGAGACATATATAAGATGAAACATGGAAGAAAGTACTTAGTACAGGCAGGGCTGGTATGTAGGAAGAACTCAATACATGGCGATGTAGTCACTGTTATTATAATTTTGTCCCTCTTCCCAAGACCTCACTTCTTTAATTACCTTCATACCCATCTTTCTCCCTGAAGAGAGCACAGGAAATGGAAGAAACACTGGACTCTGAGCTGGAGAGGCCAAAATGGCTTTTGCAGCCAGGCTGTCCTCCTTCCAGAAGGACCCAAGAAGTTGTTCCAGGCAAGACAGAGCAAGTTCCTGGGAATCTAAAGAGCCAGGGAAGGTCCAATGTGAGTCACTTCCTCAGTTAGCACCAAGGCAGTGACAGAAGTAGCATTTCCTGGCCATGACTTTGCTGAGGTTGTCCTGCTGTTTTTGGAAAGGTATTGCTTTTTAGGCTTCAGAAATGGGGACTCCAATTTAGTTCAGGGTGCACGGCCACTGCTTAGTCTCTTGGGATTCCCCAGGAGCATGGGGTTAAGGAAGCTGGGGAGGAAGTGGTGCGACTGACCCTACACAGCCCATGCTGGTCTTACACCCTGCTGGCCTTTCCTCCCTGACCTAAGCAGACTTTATTTCATTGTTAGGGAGGCAAAGCTCCTCCTGCTAGAGCAATTCTCCTCAAAGTTCAGCAGACATCAGAATCTCCCGGGAGACTTGTTCAAATGCAGCTTGCTAGACTGTAGTGACAGATTTTCTGATTCAATCGTTATGGGGTGAGACCTGAGAATTTGCATGTTGTTATAAGATCCCAGGTGTTGTCAAGATAACTGGTCTAGGACTCCTCTTTGAAAACCACCACCGCAGAGAGTTGCATATTTGCATCACCATTTGTCCTTTGGCACCCCGTCTTAGGGCAGGGCATGATGTAGGGGAAAGACAAAGGGGCAGGAATCTTGGGTTCTTATTTTCACTGATTTACTCTGTGGCTGCATTTCTGAAGACGGTTTTGATTGTGAGTGAGGGAATATAGCTTGTTACTCTAAGACACACATGGACTTTGTTGGAAGGATACTAGGGAATCTCTCTAATTTCAAGGAACAGATTATAGTTAAGGTTTGGGAAGGGCAAAGCAGCCTTGGAATTTATTTTCTGCCGTCCAGGGCACTCTGGTCAGATAGTTCAAATTCTAAATGCTAATGAGAAGTAATCTATTTGGCTCACAAGGGACAAGACTTTCCCACCCTCCCCCACTCAGCCAATAAGCCTCAACAGGTATTTGGTGGAGCAGACATACACAGCACTGCGTCAAGTAAACAGGCAGGGCTGCTCCCCAGCTCCCACCAACCTGAACTGAGCAGCTTACTACAGAGGCCATGACTGGGATTCTTCCCCTGCCTGGGCCTCAGTTTTCTTATCTGTACTACGAGGGGTTTGGATTAGAACTTCATCACTAGATTAGTGTTTCTCAAAGTTGGCCTGCATCATAATTGCTTGGGATACTAGAAAATAGAGACCCACAATGTCCCAAGGTGTGCTGCTAAATGATCAACAACAGACTTTCCAAAACAAAACAAAACACCCCAATTTATAGTGTTTGCTCAATTTCTGTAGTGTAAATAAACACTCCTACTTTGGCCAAGTTCAAGCTAACAATGTGAAGTCACTGAACTTCACTTTGGGGAAGAGAGGTACATGTGGGCTCTAGCACACCACCCACCTACTGACTCAGAACCACTGATGGAGGCCTTGGACTCTGCATTTTGCCCCCCTTCAGGTGATGCTAGTGGAGCATAAAATTTCAGAACCCCTGCATCCAGAGATCTCTGAGGGCTTTGCTGTCCCTTCTGTCTCCCCATTCTAATTATATTACAGGTTCTCACACTGGCTCTGGGAGTTGGGGAACATTTTCCTTCTTGAAAGAATTGCAGAGCAAGGCCTAGAGAGATAAATGAGCCATTGCCCAAGTGAGCTAATGATGCATCTGCACCAGCCTGTCTGGTACTCTTTCTCCTTGTCCTCTGTGAGGGCCCTATCTCTCCATCCTAGGGGCAGGGCAGTATCTCGATGTGCACGTCTCAGAGGGATACTGGAGGTTGCAGCTGTGGGTACTGGGACCCATGCCCATTGCCCATCTCTAAGGGTGGGGCTGGATTTCAGCTGCTATCACTATGACCTTTTGATCTCTTATCTCCATCCCTGGAACTGGGAACCTGCCTGGTCATCGCTATTTTTGTGCAGGTTCCTCATCTTGATAACTTCTCTGTGCAGGTAGAGGACAGAGTGGAGGATGCCGTTTTTTGTCCTGAGGTGCACTGGGGCAGAGAGAGACATGACAGAGTCATGAAAGACCCACCAACAGATGGCAGGGGTGACACAGAAGTTGGGAAGGGGAAAGTTAGGCAAGGAAATGTACAAACTGCTGAAAAGGTTAAAAATTCCTTTTTCTTTTCTTTTCTTTTCTTTTTTCTTTTTCTTTTTTTTTTTTTGAGACAGGGTCCCACTCAATTGCCAAGGGTGGAGTGCAGTGGTGTGATCATAGCTCACTGTAACTTTGAGCTTCTGGGCTCAAGCAGTCTTCCTCCTAGCCTCCTGCCTCAGCCTCCTGAGTAGCTGGGACCACAGGTGCACATCACTTCTCCTGGCTGATTTTTTATTTTTTTGCAAAGATGAGGTCTAGCTTTGTTGTTTAGGCTGGTCTTGAACTTTTAGCTTCCACTTATCCTCCCACCTCAGCCTCCCAAAATGGTACTGGGATTACAGGTGTCAGTCACTGCTCCTGGCCCAGGATTGTACATTGTTTCTTTAAGGAGCTTTCAGAAGAAATCATTTTTACGCTGTAGTTAGGTTGGAAATTTAGTTTTGAACTGGGATGGTCCCTGACTCTCTTATTCTAGGGAGTAGCGGTTCTCAAAGTATGATCTCCAGATCAGTAGTATCAACATCACCTGGGAACGTTATAGAAATGCAAATTCTTCAACTCAGAATATCTCCCCCTCTTAGAGCTATTGCCTGAATCACCACGATTCCTTATTCACTTGTGGAGATTAAGCACTCCTCCCTCAAAAAACTCTTTTCCAATGCTGATGCCCCATGGGACTGCCATGATGGGCTATTTTCTCTGACTACAGGGTGGATGAGCTTGTGATAAGAGAAACAACTGAGGAATTCTGGGTTGGGGATGGGGGAAACTACAAGAGACAATAGAGACTACTCTGGCTATAACAGGCCTTCTTAGGCACTTTCTATTGTGGCTGCTTAGAAGGAGGCCTGAGGCCAGCACACCTCCTGCCCCTTGGAGATATCTAGCATAACATGGAAACTTCAAGCAGTGGATAAGCTCCTGGTGGACTGAACTCTTTGGATCTCTCCTGCATGTCTGTCCTCTCAACTCTCTGGACTCAGGACTTCACTGCCCGTCCCACAAGGAACAGGACTTTTCTGCCCTCCCCTATGTGGCCAATAAGCCACAACAAGTATGTGGTGGAACAGACACAGGAGAGGGTGGAATGGACTGGCTCCAACCCTTGTCTCCTCTCATTCCACCAGGGTTTTGCCATCTTCCTACAGTATAACTTCAACTCCCTCGGGCAACACATGCTCTGTTCTACCCGATGCTTGGGCTCCTGTGACAGGCCTTGTCCCAAGGGCCCTGTTTATATTCATCTGGGCCTGAAGGACAGGATCCAAGCATTGGAGGCTGGTCAGTGCTCAGAGCCTCTGAGGTGCTCCCTCCTTGGAAGTGTGATCCCTTCAGAAGAGTGTAGCTGAGGCTTCTTTCAATGACTATCTAGGGGATACTGGGGGAACAATTTGGAGCTGCGGCTGGGGGTTGACTATGAACCTGGCAGACTGGAGTGTAAACCTGAAGTCTTTCGTCCATTTAGGTCTGAACTTGTCCTTCCTAAAGTGATGCGTGAAGCTGGTGGATCTGGGATAGGCCATTTGGAGAGGAGAAGAATGTGGAGTCAGGCTGGAGGGGACCTTTGCCTGATACAGCTCTGGACCAGTCCTGAGGCACCTACTTTGGTTTAGGTGAAATAAGCTATTTGTGGGTACACCTCTGAGCATGTTCTACCTGTGTGTCTTTCATGCATCCATAAGGGTTCCCATGTGTATCTGTGTAGAGTCTCCATCTCACCAGCTGTGAGGCCACAGACAGGTGATTTAAACCACCTGGCCTCCCTTTTCTGTGTCTGTATTATGGGGATAATAATAACTTTTATAAAAGCTTACTATGGCAGCAAAATGAAACAATACACATAAGCTTCTTAGCACAGTTCCTGGTGCTCATGTGTTAGGCTATTATTATCAATGCCTTGGGTAATTTACTTAACCTCCCTGGGCCTCAGTTTCTTCATGTGTAAAATAGGGATAATACCAGAACCTAGTACTATTCTAAGGATTAGAGCAATTGATACCTATGAAGTTCTCATATATGCAATAAATGTTAATGAGTAGAATGTATATTATCTTTGCATATGGATGTGTCTGGATGAGAATATCCGAGTTTATAAATGTCTCTGAGCATGTCTTGCTGCTGGTGTGTGTATATACACATGTATATATGTGTTTAAGTGTGTTTATATGGCCAGACAGGCCCAGTCTCTCTGGTGGAGTTTGCTGTTGGCCCAGGTCTGGACTCCCTGAGCCAACGAGGGCCGGCGCCGGGGATGGAATTTCCATTAAGAATTAAGCAGGACAGCCCAGCATTGAGAAGTCAGGCAGGCAGAGGGGAGGGGGTCGAGGGGGAGGAAGCTTCAACTCTGAGCTCCCTTGGGCGGCCTCAGTACTGAACTGCCTTGGACAAGCTTTGCCTTGAGTCACAGGCCTTCTCAGGGCCATGGCCCAGAAGGATGGGCAAAGGGGGAGAAGCTGTTTACAGGGGCCTCTATAAGGAGACTTGGAGTTGCTGCAGCCAAGGCTGGAGCCATGAGGCGGCCCCCGAGCAATGGAGAGGCGGCCAGCGAAGGTCCAGGTGGCTGGGGTCTATGGGGAGTCCAGGAGTCCAGGAGGCTGTGCTGTGCCGTACGTATCTGGGAAAGTGGATGTGAGTGTGTGTGCGTGTGTGTGTGTGTGTGTGTGTGTATTGGGAAGTGGAGGGTGGGGGCATTTATGCCAAGTGCCTCCAGGGAACATCTAACAAACCAAGTCTGTTCCTCTCTTACCCTGAAACCCAGACACAGAGTTTGGGCCTGGAAAAAAAGATCTTTGAGGCTTTTTTGCTAACATCGATCTGTTTATGATCTAAGCCTCATTCTATTTCTAGCGTATAATAAAATATCTTAGTTTTCCAGGTGCTTTACATCCTTGACCTCACTTCATACTTTCAACAACCTCATGAGCTGGGCAGAGATTATTATGTTCCCCAATGTACATATGGGAAAACTGACGCTCAGAGAGGTTAAGTGATTTGTCCAAGGATTCATCACTAGAAAGTGGTAGAGGCAGGATGCAAAACCAGGTTTCTCTGAGGAAGAAGTGGAGACCTTCCTTCCTTCCTTCCTTCCTTCCTTCCTTCCTTCCTTCCTTCCTTCCTTCCTTCCTTCCTTCCTTCCTTTCTTCCTTCCTTCCTTCTTTCCTTCTTCCCTTCCTCCCTCCCTCCCTACCTCTTTCTTTTTCCTTTCCTTTCCTTTCTCCTCTCCTCTCCTCTCCTCTCCTCTCCTCTCCTCTCCTCTCCTC